GCCTTCCTGACCCTACTACCGGGACCACTTCGGCACCTTTGGCAGCTGACAGTACAACTACCGACATTGGAACTACGGCCCATTCTGATACATATTCAGGCTTCGCACCTCCTGATGCCCCTTTTCCGACGGAGCAAAGTCCTGCATACCACTACCTCCATCGTGCTCACTTCTCTTCCCGCGTGGTTCACCAGATCCAATTCAAGATCATTACCCACTCCAACAATACCAGGGAGTTATTCATTGAAGAGATCCCCATGTCAGGGCTCTCCAAATGTCGTGACCCCGAGCACTACTTTTACGGTCTTTCGGGCAATTGGGAGTGGTCCCTGCGCACAGCGGATTATTGGCGACATCATTTTGAGATTCCTCTAGTACATGGACATCATCCTTTTCACAATGTTCCCATTGAGACCACGGCACCTATGGAGGCAACCCGCTTTACTCCGAAGATCCAGGAACTGGCTCAACAACTTTCAACCACTTTGACGGCTGCTATGGCATCTGGGGAAATCAACGACACGTGGAGGATGGTTGAAGACATGAGCTTCCGTGACGCGATCCAAACACTTCAAGCTGCAGCGAACCTCCCTTCTGAGTGACTGAGCGCGGCTCTGTACATTAGCACCGGAAAGCCTTTTGTATTTGAATAATCTTGCCGACATTCACAGCGATGGTCTTCCAAAAATCAAACCCCGCTACACGCGGGGTGTGTGTGTGTAACATCTGAACAGATGTAAAACTTCTATGACTCTAATCTTTTCACAATTGCAGGGGATCTTTTCACATTTGCAGGGGGGTGCAGAGCACAGTGGAGACTGCACCCAACGAAGCTATCCACTTGTGCTGGAAGCAGAGTCTGATCAACTCTGTGTACCTGCAAAATTTGGTTTCAACTGTTGATCAAGCTGTTACATTGCGTTGTTTTGAATCTACACGGTTGCCACAATCTGTATTGCATGCATCAGAACCTTCTTCAGATTTTCGCCGAAACCATGTCGCCGAAAGTATTATGATTTTTTGACCTATTTTCGCTGAGATCATGTCGCCGATGAACTTTGGGTTATTTTGGAAAACCATCGCCGAAACATTATTATTTTTTGATTTTCAACATGCTGGTCAAAACTTTGTGGACTCTGGTTAAAACTCCGTTTGACAATATTGGATGCCCTACATCGTTTTCGAGAAGTACCTCATGTGGCTCCTTTATTAATCTAACGATCTAGGCTGGTTTGCATGTTTCAAGATTCAGTTCCTGCCGGATCATATAATGATCCATTCTTGTCTAGTGTGTGTGTGTGTGAGTGAGTGAGTGAGTGAGAGTGAGTGAGTGTGTGTGTGAGTGAGCGAGTGAGAGTGAGTGAGTGTGTGTGTGTGTGAGTGAGAGTGAGTGAGTGTTTGTGTGAGGGAGGAGGGAGGACGGGAAGGAGGAGGAGGACGAGGAGCGGATACAGAACTAAAAACAAAAACCCCACACGTCAATGTGGGGAATAACGGCGCAGCAACCGTGCTGGGAGCTAACAATGACTCGCGCACGCGACGCAAGGCACCAGTCACTGGATGGAAACTCCAATCTTCTTCAGAGGCAATAGGGGGAGTCATACCCAGAAGCACTGACTTCGCGAACTTGTCCAAGTCATTTTCGGTGCGGAAACAGCTTTGGAAAACAGATTCATTGGCATATGTCTCCACCACTTTCTCCGCAACTGCCGAAATCACTCCAGCCTCTAACAAGACACACAAGGACGAAGGAACACAATCGCAGCAATGTACTGTTGCAAACTTAGCTGTTACTGGACGACTGGCGAGCAGCAACTTTTCACCAGGACCCAAAGGCATCTCCGCCTCGAATGAGCCAAGCCTAACTAGGCAATCCCATGGAACTGTAAACTAGCAAAACCTATCTAGGTTAAGCTAGGCAAAGGCCGCTGCCCGCTCTCAGGAAGTCCCGACCACGGACCCCAAACACTAATACCCGCACTCAGGTACAAAGCACAAATCAAAATCCAACTGCGACGAAGCGGTATCCCCACTCGTCGCTATCCATTATCAAAAAACACCGGCCCATAACCAATCAGGAACTTGGTCCTTCTTACTGGCCGCTGCCCACTCTCAGGCAGTCCCGGCCCCACACCTTGGCCGCTACCCAGTCTCAGGTAGTCCCAGCCCCACCTGGCCGCTACCCACTCTCAGGTAGTCCCAGCCCCACACAACTGGCCGCTACCCACTCTCAGGTAGTCCCGGCCCCGGACCGCTACCCACTCTCAGGTAGTCCCGGCCCAACGCCGCCAACCGCTCTCAGTTGGTCCCGGCGTTCCATTTTCCAGCACGCTGACCAAACGCAGTCAGCAACACGCCGCATGGGGCACATTAACAACATCCACGATGTCTGCATGAACGAAAACCTTCAAACCAAGGATTTTCCAGTCGCTTTTCAAAAGCCGCGTGCAATGTAGCACTCGGGCGACAAGCCAGGAACACAGTATCCTCATCGCCATCCACATGAATTGCTTTATGCGCCGCACCTGCTAATGTGTTCAGGAACCAAGGCCCTTCCAATTCCGCCGCATCTGACAAGGAATTTTCGCTGCCACCAACTGATTGATTATCCAAATCACTCAGCGCAGCGCTTGAAGAGCTACTCCCACTTGAATCACTTTCTGTATCCGATTCTTGCCCTGCGCGCTCACGCACCAAGCAACCAACACCACGCTGCAGCGCAACCCCAGGCCGCCAACCCGAATCCAAAACCTTAAGCAGTGCCCGCTGGCAGTTAAGTTGCGGGGTGACATCATCCCGACTATATCGCTGCACACACTGAGAAAACCCATGATGCCTCTGATGACCCTGCGCTGCACGCTCCACTGGGTCAACTTTGCATTGCAATGCCCAAGACAACAAAGTACATTTGAGAGAATGTAGCGAAAAGGTCCACGCAACTTCGCGTTCAAGCCCTGCAACTAAGACCAGGCATCGCCGAAACTGCGCCAGCATGATGGTATAAGGCATGGGTTTGCCATTCCACCCTATGAAGAAATCCTGCGTAGGACGTTGCGCCCGAATTTCAGAAATCACGTTGAAGAGGACATCACCCCAATTGCTTGCAGCGCAGACACAGCGTAACACACCCCAAGGCATACCCCGAACCGAGGATTTGGTTCACCAACACCACCCTCTGATAGAGGTAGCATCCGAGGTGATGGATTGATCTGACCATCTCAGACTACCCCAGGCCATAAGTAAGATGGCGCAAAGTAAAATTCGATCATCACCACTTGCACCTGCGACTACCTGCTCAAGTTTTTCTAAAGCAAAAAATGGAATCGGCACCGCTTCCTTCACTCTGCTGCGCTTCCACTTGTCACCTTTTTTCCAGCTCTGAATCATGGGCTCACGTAGCAATGTCTGCAAACTTTCCAATCGTAAGTCTTTCCAACTAAAGTTCTTCCGCTGCTGTGGAAAGCTCTCATCCACTCTCGAATCATAGTTGCTGCTGCATCTACGGACTCAACACGGACCTTCTCCTTTACACCTGTGCATGCGTTGATTTGGCTAGCAGACAGATCATCAATGGCACGAACTTTTTTTTTCTGCTGTACACCGAAACGACGCGAGATCACCGCAGGCTTGTCTGTCATGGACTGAGCTTCTTCCAGCGAGAACGGCCCGATAGCCCAGCCTTTTTCAACGTCCATCAGAGTGGCATCCCACACGGCTGCATCGATGTCTGCGTGTCTAGAACGCTTGCAAGAGCCTAGAATCCACTGGTTTTGCTTTGGGGCAACACGAAGCAGTTCATCTAGGTGCAATGCTGGGGGGCGCCACTGCTCAGCAAAAATACATGATTTCTCTAGCCAACCAAACAAGGGGAACCCTTTTTCCAAATGTGTGCAGAGTAACTGATCTGGATGGTCAATTTCACGCAACAATGCGTCAAGCAACAGGATCCGCTTTCATTTCATCACTTTGCCTAGGTGCGGTGGCATGTTCGCGTGCAAGCTTCCTTCTTGCTCGCTTAGCGAACGAATGATGGATAATGATCGGCTGAAAAAGCTCTTCCGACACTTCAACAACTCAAGCGGCGATAGCTCACGATGTTTCTGAATTGCCACGGCGACAGCAAGGTTGATAACGCCAGATCGCTCTACAGGGTGAACTAATTTGCAAGCTTCGGTTAAGAAATCAAGCGGCTCTCTTGGAATACCAAGAATCACTTTATTGGCATCAGAGTCCGTGCGCAACACGCGCGTCCCGCTCGGAAAGGCAACATGCTTCGGCACTCGGCTGCCAGGCAAGATTCCAGCAAGCTCGGGATGTTCAAGCGTTGAAACAGGCGCAGAAAGAAAGAAATCTGTCAATAAGGGCGGCAACTTGTTTCCGCGCGGCTGCCACCCCAGAGAAGCTCGATTCTGCAAATCAACGCACGATGGATCAGAGCTAGATCGATTTTTCCACCCACATGTGGTCGCAAGGTCATCCAACAGAAAAGACCAATGCTTGCAAAATTAGCCTGGCAGCGCAACTGAATTTCGGTCCGTCTGCTGTACCAATGTGACACATCCACGCTCTAGCACGCTCAAGCTGTCTATGTTTGACAGTACAGCAAATGGTCTGCAGTAGGCAACTTCAAAAGCACAGGCACAACAGCTGATCTGGCTACAAGGGTACTTATGCTTCGACAGCTTATGCAACAAGCGATCGCAACACTGACGTTTGGAAGTGTCAACCAAAGCCCAAAATCTGCCACGCTTATTTCACACAGCGCATTGCTCACAAATCCAACTAATCAGCGCATCATCACACTCATGCGGTACGAAAATGATCAAGCAAAAGAGAGAGTCAGACGCCACAACTTCCTGCAATAATTCGCGCTGCAAAGGCTGTCTCAAAGGGTGCTTCATATGTACAACTTGCAAACCACGCTGTCGCAAATGCGATACGACGCATGGGTCGCCAGTGGTGACTTCAACACACAGGGGCACAGCTGGATGACCTTCTAGTCAGTCTTTGTTCGGGCACTCATGTTGACCATGAGTGCGCCCGCATCGCATGCACTGGTGCAGGCCGCGGCCACATTTGGGCGGATGGCCTTTTACTTGTTCCTTGCAGCCATGTGGAAGGTTGTAATTGAAGCACAAAGCTTCGCCTTTCTTATTCTTTGGCAATAAACCTTGCAGCTGTTTCGGCATTTTCGTGAAATGCTTCTTAGGTTTGCATCGCTTGGTGTCTTCACTATGAGCATCACTGGAGGCAGACCTAGGCCGTTTGCGCTGCCTCCGGTTGGTATTTGGCTTTGGCTCTGGTACAGCGGCAGGTGTCGGGAGCAAATGGAACAGCACTGCAGGTTCTGTGGCTAATCGTTTGAACATCGCATCCAAAGGTTTTCCACCTGTGGCGTCTTTGTGGATCTTGGATGCAGCCTCATCAGCAACAAGCTTCCAGAGCTCCTGATCTGCGCGCACCAATGAATGGACTGTGGGTCTTGCAAAGCCAGGAGGCGCAGCCCGGCTCAAATGAGACAAGAAACTATGCGTTACAGCATCAAGGACTTGAAAGGTAATCAGTCCGGCTTGGTCTGCGGCCAGTGCCCGGCGTGTCATAGCCTGCTGCACGTGCAATGGACACGACAAATCCACAGAATTGCGCAAATCTTTGCTTTTTAACACAAGCTGATTATGCTCAAGCGTCAGCAATTTGCTAGTGTTCTTTTCGTGACAAAGCTCATCCTCACGGCTTACGCAGCTGTGGAGCGGAACGTGTTCAGACAAGCATCCGACAACATTTTGACAAATTTGTCCACAAGTCCATTCGCCGGCTCTGTGGCATTGCAAATCAACAAGCCATGGCAGCCGCTCATGCTGATCAGCCAAGCGCCGGTCCCGTTCCTGAGGCGGCATCTTCGAGTCTTTGCAATCATCTCCACCAGACACACGCTGCGAAATGCTTTGCACCGTGCAGGTAATAGCCTCAAAGATCAAACGTCGCAGCTGGCTTTGCACGCCAAGCGTCACGGCTTTGTCTCCGAAGCATGCCTTCACAAGCAAATTGAATTTGTCCTCATCAATCTGGCCCGGTTGCGTTGAAGATGCAAAAGCCAGCGCAGCAAAAGTGTTCAAATCCTGCTTTGCCAATGCAGCCTTCACAGACTCGTCGAAACCTAATTCGCCGAGACGATGCTCGAAGGACGCTGCGCTGTCAACCAGGCTCGCCATGGCACAAAGGATCAGAAAAATCAAAACACAAATCAACCTGAGCACAATAACGCTGGAATTGCAAACCACAGCTAAACCAGCGCTGACTCAGGAAACAGAGCGAATTGCTCGACCAGTCATTACTGGATTTCAACGAGGCATTCCTCGACCAGACATTTCTGGATTTACTGCAAGGAAAAATCATCTTGCAACATGCAGCCAGCACTCATATCAAGTCATTGAGGGAATCTACAGCGCAGAAGCCCACAAAGCCCCAAAAATCTAAGCCCTCATCTGGTCCCCAGAAAGACTAAACTACGGCTACTATGGCAGCCTTCGATTCAACATAGCAACCTTTGCATTTCACAATTGTTTCAACTGCGGAGATTATCTCTGCAAGTTTGCTGTCAAAGACTTGCCACACTCAAAAGCATCATGTCCGTCCTTGATGATGTGACAAATTCCTGAATATTTGTGTCTGTAAATCTTTCGTCCTGCCGCAGCGGTCAATAGCTGTGGCCTGGCGGTTGCCGGCAGCAAGCGCAACAGCGGCACACTATCATCAAGTTCCTCAGCTTCACATTCCGACTCACTGGACCAGGAATCCGTTTCTGCTTCTGCTGGCCGTGGTGATGCACACTCATTCAACATGCCGCTGCGCGTGTCGTCTGGTCGGAAGCGTCCAGATTTCACTGCTTCTAAAACTCGCACCAGTTCGCGCAGAGGCGCAGCCAAGGAATCTCGCGCATAGGTCTCAGCCACGCTGGCACCAGGAGCGACATGGTAGCCAAGAATACGGCGCATCGCCAACGATGTTCCAAATTTTGCTAGCCAAGCCAAACATGTTACCTTAAGGGAGTGAGCTGTATAATGTGGAACTTCAACACCAGGCAGATTTGTTTGTAACAAAGTTCGTAACAAGGCACCCCCTTCGCTGGTGGTAAGGCCGCGCTCTGTGGGAGTACCATGCACGTTGAAAAATGGGAGCAAAGGAAAGGAACCCTCATGTCACCTTCTACTGGAAGCTTCAACGCTTGCCGCGCATCCAACCAAGCCTTGTGCCACCTGCAACCTGACAATGAGAAAATTGGTGCAACCACAGGCAGAATCCGGCGACGCCGCTGCAATGACGTTGCGGTCTTGTGGGTTCGCACTGACAATTCAAGAAACCCTCGCTCTAGGCTAGCTGAACTGGCAGCACTCATGTCCAACGACAAGGAGGATGCACGTTGCCCATCACCAAAACGGCAGCGCGCATACAGGAGTACCAACAAGGAACCTGCGAGGCATCTCTCTTGAGCGGTGTCAGCTGACACTGCGATGTGTTCAAGGGCTTGCACATGGTCAACAGACAAAGCTAAAGCTTGCTTCAAAGGCGGAGCATTTATGGCCATCTTAGCAGCTACACCTTGCACACGCTTGCTAGTGACAGACCCGCCATCAATGCCAAACATCACAGAGGCGAAATGCACAGCTTCCAGAAAAGACCGCCCGCTGGACGGCGCTGCACCTTGTTCACGTAAACTATCTAGGTATGTATACAAGACGCTGTCACTGAAAGGCAGTGGCACACATTTCTGGTCCGAACACCAGGTGAAGAAACGACGCAAGGCACCCAATCGCTTCACTAGAGTTGCAGTGGATTTCATGGCCAGCACATCGTCTATAAAAGTGCCACAATGTAAGATAGTTGCATGTTCAGCGCGAGACTTAGTTTCCAACAGAACTTGGCACCCAACCAGCGATGCTTGTGGGACGGCCATTATGAGAACTGCCCATTGTTCCAAAACGGTTTTCCTGCGCGCATCCTCCTCAATTTGGCTGGTGGGTTCGCGGCTCTGATGTGATGTGAAAAAGCAGCACGACGGCTTGTGACGTTTGGCCGGTGGCGCAGCGGAATCACTGGGCAAGTTCATACCGTGATACAACAAAAAGAACTGCATTAAGCCTGTGAATGGTTGATTGGAGAGCTGGCACGTAGACGTCCATCAAACTCGAGCGCCCCAACGCAACACCCACCAATCCGGTCTCACACACAAGGCATCTGCATAGGTCGTATAGGCAAAGATTGCCAACTCACGCGCAGAACTTCAGCAAAGTCTGGCGTGTCCATAGCAAAGCTCAAAGAAAACAAACAAGCAAAATCACAACCAAGGCCGCAGTGTGGGCCACACACACGCAAGTGTGGCCAAACATGCTCACACACAGCTGGGACTGCGGCTGCGGTTTCATACATTTCACATGACCTATAATGCAACAAATTCAGTGGCACAGGCACAACACAGGAATCAAGGTACCAAAAACTAAAGCCCTACAAACTTCGAGCAAACCTCACAATCAATGGCACCCTGATCCAAGGTGGAAACAAAACCCAAACCGAAGGGTGACTAGGCGACACAGCCTCGACCCCTGACATGAACAGGTTTCATCAGTTGTTCTCTTCTTGGTCGGTTTCCAATAAAGCTACATCAACAAGTTGAAGTCTGCATCTGATTTAATGTATTCTTCAACAAATGCAAATCACTCAAGCGACTCACGTTGGGCACACCACCTACTTTTTCAAGAAAAGCTATGCAACAAAATATAGCACGCGGCACCGAACGGCAGCAAGGTTCCAAATGTCTTTCGTGCAAGTAGCTCAAAACAACTCCTACATCTTGGGGCCACGCTCTATAAGACACTGCTTTGCAATAGGCCGACAACTTTTTGAATTCCCGCACATGCTTGCGAATGGTGGCGGCGCGCGCTGTGCCCAGCCCTGCTTCCAACGCACCCTTGGGCATGTCCACCAAGGCAGCTTGCGCAGCTGCCGGAAGACCTAGCTCTGTAATCAAGGCAGCAAGACTCGCGCGCCACCGCCGCAAATCTGCTTGTTCAGCGGCTGTGCGCGATGCTGGAGCTTGCGTCACAATCCTCGTGCCTGGCGCTCTCCTCCGAACTGCACCTGAAGCCCTGGAAAGCCAAGCTTTGGTAGGTCTGAGCACTTGTAAGGGCTCCCACCGAGCGGCCTTGGAAGCGACGCAAAGGTGCTGCTGCTCCGGAAAAGTGTTGGCTCTACGTTTTTGCACACGAACTGCTGACTTCTCCGCGCGATGCTGGAGGAGCTCAATCCGCTCCACGTCTGCCACCAGGATGTCGCCTTTGAAGAAATCAATGATGTCATCCCTGTCAACAAACATGTTAGCCAGCATTTCGCAGGGAGGCAGCGCCCTGCTGCCCGCTGCGCTCAAGCCGGAGCGCAAACGTTTAGGCAAGCAAACCCACAGCTCTGCATCACTCAGCTGGTCCATTGCTGCCAGCACAAGAAACAAAAGAAGGCAAACAAAACACCAACCCAGTGCAACCGCACAAGGCAATCCTGGAGGAATGCAACTGCAAACCATCCAAACCTGTTCACCCCCTGTCACCTTCAGAGCAATCGCACACAGATCCGCATCTTCCACACAAAAGGTAGTCGCAAATCACAAGAATGGAACAAGTGAACCAAGAGTCCCCCAAAAGCTTTATATCCCCAAAACAAGAATCACGAGGAGGGGTCCCATCAAATCCCGCTTCGTTGTTCGCAGGCGAACACTTTGAATCTGCAGAAGAAGCGCATCCTCTCCGTCAGCGATGGGAAATTGCGCGGTCATTGATACCGGCGCAGCGCGGGGCGAAGGGGCTACCGCCTCATAGGGCATCAACGCTGGCAACCCGTAAGAATCATTGCACGCTTCCACCACCGAACTTTTTGCTGGGCCGGCAGATAATCATTCCACGACACCATGATCAAATTTGCAAGCATCACCAAAAGAACATTTGCCATGCTGTTTGAAAGCGAAACAAGGCGGCTTCCCTTTTGGATGTGGGGCCTCTGACATTTTCCCTTTCCCGTGCCTGCCTCGTGGCCTCTTGGCATCATCAAGCGGCTGCGGCAAGGTTCGCTTAAGTGCCCCTTGGCACTGATCACCGATTCTGCATTAACCACCTTGGGTTTGGGTTGCAACCACATTTGCAAGCTGTGGCGCACCACCACCACTTCGTGAAGAGCGGAATCAAAATGGAACCCATCACTCAGTAAGGCATTGAGTTGACGACACAATTCGCCATCTGCATGTTCTGCTTTGGCCAGAGTCGGGGATCGGAGACCCAGTGACCCCAAACCAGGAGCGGCATACAGCCCCATGAATGCCTGCACCAATCGTCGACCTGCACCAAGGTGGCACCAACCTACCAATGCCCATGCTACTGAACGGAATAAAGGCAAGCGCTGAACACCATAATGAGAAGGCGACGGGTCTTGCTCCAATGCGTTGACATGTCCCGCAGCATCAGCCAGCACATCAAGAAAGGTCTTCTCCTTGTTCCCCGCTTGTTTGGCGCGATCCGCTTGCGCTTCACTGAGAATCTGCCGCCATGGAATGAAACGGAGCTCATTGGCCGCTTTTTGCGCAAAGACCATCTGAACCAACGCCTTGCAAGGTCTGGTATCGCCCACGATCACTTCCGCCGGATAATTTTTCGTGAAATCAGAGCACAATTTCTGCAGAGCATCACTTGTGAGTCACGGGCCAACATCGAAGCCAAACAGACTGGAAGATACATTGGCAGGTACGGCAGGTGCTGCCTGTGCTGCCACAATTGGCGGGCCATCGCAGATTGCGCGGCACTCATGCAAAAGCCGGCGCAAACACCCGGCTTCTGCAGATTGAAGCTTGGATGCAGCTGCCTTGCTGTCGACCTGTGCTTCATCCAAAATTGCACCAAAAGTCTCCTCGGAGCCTTCTTTCAATGGCCAAAAGAATTTTGCCGGGGTTGTAAATCCGCGGGACTCCAAGGCTTTTATAATCGGATCAACCACCCCAATCTTGGCGCACAAGGACTGGAAAGTCTCTGTGGAGTCCATTGCCGTCATGAGCAAAGCACAACCAAATGAAATGTGAATCAAGCGAGAGTAATCTCTTGCAATCACAGCACACATGATCTATGTTCGCTAGCAAGAGAAAGAAAAGCCGACCTTATTGGTCGACGCATCACATTAAGAATCTTTAGAAAAATACATTTTGCGCAAACATATGAAACCTTGACATGCAGCCATCCATCACTTTGGACACAAAAGGCGACATTCGCGCCAGGCACACGTAAAATTCAATCTATGACTCAATATAGCATCCCTGACGCACAGCAAATAATCTTACCACAAACTATTTGCTTCATAGGATAACCCCTACAGAGCCCACCACAGCTCAACTTGCGCCACTCGGACGCACCCAATGGGCACACCACGGCTCAACCTGCGCCACTCGGACGCGCCCCACTGAGCATACCACAGCTCAACCTGCGCCACTCGGACGCACCCCACTGAGCATACCACAGCTCAACCTGCACCACTCGGACGCACCCCGCAGAGCACACCACGGCTCAACCTGCGCCACTCGGACGCACCCCACTGAGCATACCACAGCTCAACCTGCACCACTCGGACGCACCCCACAGAGCACACCACGGCTCAACCTGCGCCACTCGGGCGCATCCCATAGAGCACACCATGGCTCAACTGGCGGCACTCGGACGCAACCCAATGACCAACAATGGCCAAAACAGCTTGCAAGATAACACCACCTACGCCATCCGGGCGCTAAAGCTGGCACACTGTCCGCGTAATAGACGCAAGCAATCACACTAGTGGACATGGCCACAAGGACATCACACCGCAGCTGCACAAGCAGGATGAGCACAAGGCAAATAAATCTCTTCGCTATCTGCTGGACTGGAATGACATACCTCCCACCTCGGTGGTCGCAAAACTTGCCGTGGAGCGCAAGCTCGAGCAAATTCATCAGTTCCAAGACAAATTGCTGCGTGATAAAAACAAGTGGAAGTATTTACCACAAAAACTCCTGCTGTCAAAGGCTGCGTCGAAACCTGAATCACAGAAGCCTCATCACAGAGTCAGAGTCGCTTGACATAGACGAAGAAGAACTTGACTCCGAATCATCTTCGGTTTCTGAACCATTGTCATCATTGAATCATTGTACATAACCTGGGAAGCGGGCACTTGCAAACCACTAGGTATCCAAAATAACAATGGCAAAGGCTGCGCAGGCACTGTTTCTGAGGCAGGTGGCGAAGATCCCCTAGCTTGGGGTGTTAGGGGAACCCCAACCCTGACGAACACAGTGTAGCACATGCAACTGAGCCCGCAGAGCTGGCAACACATCATCGCGGCTATACTTGCTCGCCATCTTTGCTCCAGAATCTCTTCCACGATGATGGCCCCACAACCGACGTTGAGTGTGATCAATGTCAAGCTGCAGGGCCCAAGACAAGCAAGAGGGCTTAAGGCTATGTAACGTGTAGTTGCATGCTTGCTCAGGTAACACACCCCCAGCCGAAACCAAAAGTTTGCGAAGAAGACCTAGTGCATAGGCAAAGTTCGCGCGTGCGCCCCCAGGGCCAATGAAAAGAAAATCACACTGTTGCATAGCATTGCAAAGTTGGAAAACGCCATCATCCCAAGCAGCGTAGAGCCCAAGGGTCAATATACCAAAAAGCATCCCGAGCAGATTTTGTTCGATAGCAACGTCCCCGCACAACTCCTCGCTCGAGAAAGATGGAACTGACATCAATTCTTTGAATGTCACTAAAACGCAGAGCGCCCCGTACCATC